TTGGATCCCTGTCTGTGCAGGAGCAGTTTTTCTTGTTTTTACGGGTCAGGCTAGTCAACTGCGCCCTCGAATGCTCCCTCTTTCTTTCTCTTACTCTCTTGAACTGGATCATGTGATCCTTCTTCACGCCGCCCCGACGAGGGGGCAGGTGGCGGTAACAGAAGGGGATGTTGGGAAATTGGACGACCCAAGGTTAGCCAGGCGATCTTTGCTGGAGGATTAATTGTGTAAGAGCCATGTAATGATTGCTGGCATGTCTCTGGAGTGGAATCCTGTTAGTCACTGCACATGGGTCAGGGTAAGCCTGAGATTGTCGTGCATGTGTCTTTTTGTGTGTGTGTGTGTGTGTGTGTGCGCGCATCAGGAAAGAAGGTGACTCTGATGCATGACCAGCTGGCGATCTGACAAGTTCTGCAGTCTCAACCTGAAAGTAACCGCAGGCTCCTTCTCAATGTGTTCAGAATGAGCAGCGTCTAAATTCTACGCACGGAGGTTGTGTAGGGGAAAGTTCTCCATTAACTGACGGGAACATGTGGTGCTGTTCATAGGACTCATTTCTCTGCTCTCAATGTCTCTTCTGAGCCTTCTGCCAATTTTTAAAGTTTAAACTTTTGCAAAAAAATGGGATTGAAATGGCTTCACAGTTTGATCTCGATACATTTTTTGTATTGTCAAAAATTGCGTGTGCAGAAGTTTGTGCTCATGCTGTCCCCTTCCAAAACAATATTTTGTATGATATGCATCTTAACCATTAGGACCCCGATACTGTTGTTCTGCCCTCGGGGGAAGAAAAGCACCCTTATCTGCAAACACTCTCTCCCTATCCAACATTTTATTCTATCTTACCATCCATCGACAGCCCCGGGCAGCTTATTGAACACAGATGATGAATGGGTGTGGATTGATGGCAGATAGCAGGCCCCCACTAATTGACACCCTTGTATCACTTCATCTTCCGCCTTTGTATTCTTCCTTCTCGCAGCACAGCAATCCATTACGGTTCAGATTAGTCGCTCCTAAGAAGGCTCATGTCTCTGCGTGATCTATTGTAATGAAATATACTCCACGAGAGACGGATCAAGGGCTTTTTTCAAGGGTATTGTTTTTCTGGAGGTATTGATCGTGTTGTACATTGTTAAGTTATGGAAGAGCAGATTCTCTTCTCATTCTAGGTCAGATGTGCATAACGCTTTCATGTACTTTGATGTAACGTAGCAAATGTAGCTATGGAATATTTTTTTATTATAGTACCAAGCTTCATCCCTTTAGGGGTTAGCCAGTGTCCGACCAGAGAGGGACGAGGTTTCATCATCATCATCATCCACCAATCGAGTCCTCCTCCTTATACCGCCAGTCAAAGCCGACCACACCAGATTGGAAAAAAGTCCAGGTTGTACAAATCCTCTGGCCTTCTTAAGACCCAAATCCCTGTCTGTTTGAGACCTCAATCTCTCCTCTACTGCTGCCTGAACCGAAGGGATCCAACTGGCAAAGCTCTTGCAAGCTCTTTTCTCCTCATCAGAAGTGGGGTCCAGCTCTTGGCGGGACCCTTTAGGCTCGGCAAGGAGACAACCGTGTTGCTGTGTTATTTACTTGGGCTCAGGAACCTTACAATGTGTTTTGTCTGATTAAACCTGAAGGATAAAGGGTTTATAAAAGCCTGTGTGTTGTATTCGCTCCTTGGTCCTCTTAATGTGTTTTTATCCTCTCTATCTAGCTTTGACTCTTGCTGACTTTCACATTTTCATGGCAGGCTGTGGCAGTAGTTCCAGATGAGCACGTGACGTGAGACGCTTTGCTCCGTGCGCTCACTCACTTTTCAGCTGCGAGGCTTTTCCCTTGTTTTCCCGATGCAGCTGATTGGGAAGTTTTAGTCTGCGACCGTCAGATTATAAGATCGTCCGACCAACCTTGAGAGTACCACTTTTTCCACTGGCTCATTCAAACCATATCCACCAAATTTGAAATTTGATGGAACTCTCTCTCGTACCCTCCTTCTACTTCATCATTCATCTGACTGAGGTCGGCCATTAACTCACTGTGCTGCTTTCCTCCCGCTCTCGGCTCAAGGGTGTGCTTTACTGATTCCGCTCCACTCAGAAACAGCCTGCCATTCCCTCAGGACACGGCAGAGAGGCGCGCTTGCCAACAGCCAGACGGCTTTTAATCATTTATTTAGGGGCTGTAATGTTGAGTTCAACTCCAGTCTCTCACTTAGTGCGGAACGAAAGACACCGAATGAAGCTTCGATCAAAAAACCGGTTTGTCGGTGGGCCTGGAAGGATCCACCCTTCCGTTTGGTCAACTGTGCGTTTTGAAATGGTGCGTGATGGGGCTCCCTGTTCTTTTTTTTTTTTTTTTACATGAGGCTATTTTGTAAAAATGTCTCCTCTGCGTAACCCGATCAAAGGAATAAAACTTCACACTAATAGAGATATATCGTCCATATATATCATTAGCAAGGCGCCAAGAAGTTCACAGTGGTTGTGCTCAATTAGTAAGGAAGAGTCAACGTACACAGTCTCTGCCTAATTATGTGCGGAGGATGAAAAGACAAATCCTGCCACACGGGCAAGTTGGTTCACATGGATATGGCTTATTTATCTTAATTAAATGGCCTAGAGACTATTGTCCTTTTAACAATATTCAGTTGTTTGTTCACAGTTTGCACAAGGAGACCTGACGTTAAGAAGAATGCTTTTATGTATTTCAAAGGACGTATGCGACTAGCGATCTTCAAAGTCAAAAATATAAAAAACACTTTGACTTCATAAGCCGGTTAGAATCCCGGTCAAATTGCAAACGTGCAGCCAATGAGTATCAAAGCGACGCCGTGGGTTTTCGTTGAGCCTCCTTCATGTGTTAAAGGAGGTAAATTGAAATGTATTTATTTTTTTACTGCCGTGTCCAGCTACCCGCTTTCCCCGGCGTTAATGCTGTTGACCTTTTCACAACTCTGGCAGTTGTTTGCACTTTTCAATGCGGTTGGCTCCAATAGCCGAAAGCTCAGCCGCCACCGGGATGGTTGGTGTGGAACAAGAACAAGGCCCGTTGATTGGAGGCCTCTCGTTAGCGCTCACCATTTGGGAACGCCATTAGGAGGCCCTTCCCAGCCGAGCTGGGCTGCTTAGCCCGGGGTCAGTGGGAAAGAATGTCTTTTCCTCAGCTCGGGTGAAAGTAAACGTGTCTCTTTCTAGCCTTCTCAGTCATTAACCCCAATCATGGGAACCTTTTCTCCCCGGGGGGGAGAAATGACCCAACTCGACTCGGTTCATTGTGGTAATTGACTCTGAGGTTACTGAGTTGAGTGGTGCGGGTAAATAGAGACGTTTTTTTCAGCAGCCAGTCAGAGCACAGAAAAATCAGCCCCCTGTGAGATGCGACTTTGGCCGAAAAACGAGAGACGCGAATGCTGATCCAAACAATAAAGAGGTCAGCGTAGAACTGGAGAGGAGAGTAAAGACCGGCACTGAAGGCTTCTCTTGATATCTTCTACAGCTTTACCCTGGACTGTCTTTGGCAATTAAGTTTGATTGACGCATGGTTCATCCAAACCCGTGCCAAGTATTTTTGGAAGTGGCAGTCCTCTTTCAAACCGTTTCCGATGACGACAGGACGCTGAAGGGTTGTTGGATTGGTCGGAAAAAGATCCTCAACATCTGGTGTTTCCTAGCTTTGATCCTGCAGGTTTTAAAGTAATAAAAGCACTACCTTTTGGTGTCCTTTCCCTCTGTTGGCTCTGTGCTGTTTTGGTCATCAACGATGGCCTTTGATGCTTTTCGCGGCTCTCTCCATCACTTCTCCGATGACTGATCCTGAGGCGTAATGTTGTCAAACGCATGCTCAGCAGCGGCCCAGCACCTCCGACCACGGACTTCATATCGTCTTCCATCAGAAGGAAGTTCAGCAGAAGTCCACAATTCTCACGCCTTCCCGCCGGGTCAGGCAGGGTGTGAAGGAGTCACTTTCATCCTTAGCCCATAGACACCTCTTCTCTAAACCCATGGTCTCCCAATGAAATATGAATCAAAAGCAGGGCTCTAGGCTTTTGCTCGCCATGAAAGAAGCTTTAACTCAATTTAAAGTCTCAAGAGGTGAGGAGTTCTCTGCCCGCATTGCAGTGTTTGGATGTAACATCAGGGCTCAGTAAATTATGGATTATCGGGACAAGAAACAAACTAGGACGTCATTGTTGTTCTTTATATAGGCATCGTCGAGAGTGTGTTATTTAGAGTGCTGTATCAAACTGTTCTGTGGAAACGTCTTTTTACGTAGCAAGGTTACTTAAGGGTGTGGAGTGAGTCGTGGAAGGTTTTTTACTATAGTTTATTTGCCATAGACACCATCTTTCCAAGACCTAGTTGCCTCACCTTCCTCCAGCCGTAGGTTATACTGTATTTAAATGCTGCAGAACCATTTCTTATTTATTTTTGGGATTTCATAAGTATCTTTCAATAGTGTACATGTAAATCTGCATGATGTGTCCATATATGGGTTTTTATTACTTAGATGGAATGTTTATTACTAAACATGATTTATAAATTCAATTTTTTTTTCTCATATAATATTAGAATCAATATAATCTTTGTGATTTTCATTCTGCTCCCGTCATATTTGCTCATTGTTGTATTACAATAATTTTTTATTAATTCCTGCGTCTCTATATACATTTTTGTGCTGCTTTCTACATGTTATTTTCTACATACTTGTTTCACACTTTGGATTCCTCTATTTGCTTGAAAGTTGCATTGCAACATGTGTAACGGCATTATATTTAATACCCTTCATTTGCCTTATTTGTCCTTTTATTTATATATTTTATTTATGCTCTATTTCTCCCTACTGCATTATTATACAATGTGTTGCTGCAATGGCCCAATTACAGTTCTATCTTCCCTTATGTCTAATAGAAGATTACCTGGATGTTTTTTTTTTGCCGTCCAAAAACTAAATATGAAGATTCCTCTTTTAACTCCTACTTCTCAACCCTGTCTGTGCAGGAGCAGAGCCCCAGCAACGCCACGTCCCTGGCTATGATGCAGGAGCCACAGGAGGTGGTGGAGGAGACGGTCACCATAGAGGAGGACCCCGGCACCCCCACCTCCCACGTCTCCGTGGTCACCTCTGATGACGGCACCACGCGGCGCACCGAAACCAAGGTATGACACAAAGTTGAACAGTTCAAAAAAAAGTATTTTCATATCATAAATCCGCTGAGATGCTGTGAAAACAGTTTGGAGTGATGCAAAGCAAAAGGGTAAAGTTGTTAGCTGACGACCCTTCAACAATCACAGACTGCAGACGGCTGTACAGAGCTGATAATCGGCCCGGTACTGACTCACCTGAGCGGGACACGACAGAGAAGGTGCATTGTTGTGGCAAAGGGATCCCTCTGTGCTCAAAGCAGCAAACCTCCCAAAAGTCCCTTTGATCCATTTCAATAATGCTTCGAATTATGTTTATGGATTAGCGCTTCCAAACAGCCCAGTGCTGCAGATCCTCTCCCAGACTTCCACCCTAAAGAACTCCAAATCCCATAATCCTACTCCCCAAAGTGCTTTCATCTCCCTCTCAGGACTTCAATTATTTGATAATTGTGTTATTGTGAGCCGACGTCCCTGGTGTTCTCCTAGTTGTGTGGTTGTTAAAAGCTCTTTTGTTGATTCGTCCTCTACTGTGTTCTGTTATTTCTTTCTGTAAGGGTATCTCATCTAACCTGAAGGTGAGTGGACTTTTATACCAGTATGGCTTTCCCACCACGCCACCATTTTGATGTGTGCCCATACAGGCTACAGCAGCAGTATGCAACACAAAATGCTTCATCACAAATAATTCTGCGGTCTATACTCTACAATACGTCGCAGTTCACTGCTTGTTGCTTCCACCTTCTGGGATAGGACCCATTCTCTCTCTCTTTCATTTCAGGTCTTTTGCATGGTCTCTCTCTCTCTCTCTCTTTCCTTGTTTCTCTCCTTCAAATTCTGTCTGACAACATCCCTCATTGACAGTGTAGATGGTACCGAAAACCACTTCTCAGCAGCAATAACATACAACATCATACAATCCCATACGTGGTGATGGTGATATGTGATAGGCCAAGGGTTGCCTCCATTGAGAATTTCGTTTTCTCTCGCTCTACGCAAATGGAAGATCCAAAATATCTGTTAAGTGTTCATTTTGTGACAGTATTTTCTTATTCGCGATGATGTAATTAAATGTAAACAATACAATAATGGGACAAAAATATGGAACTGCCATTATCAAGCGTTGAGAGATCTTTTTCATTGTGGTATTCGATACTTTGAATACTCTATTCACCTGTAGATTTGTCCCCTTAATTCTTAACTGTAATCTTGCGCTTATCCTGAGGACACTCTTTGAATCAATATGTCAGGAATTCAAATTTCAATTACTTTTCACTTGTTTTTTCGGCACATATAGACCTGTGACAGTTTTTATTTTTCAATGAGATGAATTACAAAAGTATCTCGCTACCACTTTGACTACTGCGGTACTGAAAAGTGGCATCTGTAGTCTGCAATTGCCCGTATCTACACTGTCAGGTTGGGTTTTTGAAGAAGTGTGATGCTCATCCCTCCCTCTGTGTGCATGGAGACAGCGTCCCATCGGAATCCACGGCACAGTTCCACTCCAAAGATGTGCGACTTGGATTCCCCTTCCCTTTTTTGCTTTCACATTTTCAGACTTGAAATGAAGCCAATTTTGCGACATTTTGCTCGGGATTCGGTTCTAAACATAGCTGGTGTCAGCTGCTGCTGCTGCTGCTGCTGTCGGCTTCCAGCGGAGTGGCGAGCGCTGAGTTGAGCCCACACTGTGGGGACTGTGAAACTGTAATTAAAAAGCCCGGTCTAATCCCTCATCAGGGAGGGCCCATTGCCCTCCAGCCTATTTACTGCGAGGGGATTGGCCACACACACTCACTCAACCCCCCCCATGACTTTATGCATTCACACACACACAGACCTTCTCTGCGATAGCACACAGGCATGTGCGGTAAAAACATCCCGCTAATCAAGGGCTTTGCTGATGAGCAAGGGAAGAGGAAGGACACTCCTTTTTAAAGAGGCCGTCGCGCTGCCTCACTTTGAGGAGAAAAGTAGATTAATGTTCGGGGTGAATGTCTGGAAGCCTACGTTTTTGTGGTTTACCCCACAAAAGAAAAAAAAAAACTTTGCTCGTCTTCCTCAATTTCCTCTCTCTAATCTGCTTTCATGTGTTGTTTTTCTATCCCTCCTCTCATCTCCTAGCAACTCAAACTTTTATTTATGTGCTTATCTGTTCTTTTGAACCAAAGTCTCGCCCTGCCGTCTAATGCTAACATGTTCCTTTCCCTTGATGGTTATCCCCCGTCTAACAGAAGCACAGAAGCCTTTTCCTCATTTTTCCTCATGTCTCTAGCTGTTCAGTCATATTACTAGTTAGAATACTGAGAGAACGTGGCGTTAAGATGGAGTTGCGGTATTTCAGAGAAGTATTCTGTCAGCATCAGCAGCAAGACCCAGAAGACTGATTCAGATGATGTAGTGTTTAATATGTTTAAAAAAAAATATGTGGACAGCCGTTCAATGGAAGATCAACCACCGGTTCTATTTACATTTTCAATCAAAGTAAACTGGCCAAGTCCCTGAATGAGTTTGAGTTCAATAACATCCACTTTCATCATCCATTCACATCGTGCAATGCTTTACTGTTGTTTTACTGCAGTCACGTTGGAGGAAAAGCTCAGTTGGGGCCATAAAATCAGCATTCCTCCTTTCCTCTGGATGTGAGCTAATGAGACTTGAGACAGACCACATAAACAAATAAAATCACTTTCACTACTCTGCACACTCGGGGGAGTCAACAGCGAGGAGGTAGGAGTGAAAAATGAGGTGCAACTGTTGAATAGAACCGAATAAAGACGCGTTGGTGCATAACTTTCTTTTATTCTAGTAACTAGTCTTAATTGCAGTCACCGGAGCCCGACACCAGGACTCTAACCCGGGTATCCACCCCGAGCCCCGGAGACAGAAGCTGTAAAGGATGCTGAACCCTGTGTGATGTTTGCTGTTGTCTCCCGCCCGTCTCCCTGTTCCTCTCCCACCGTGTTTTAAACAAAGGCCCAAATTTAGTTACTTTTGACCTTCTAGCATTTGCAGAAAAGCAAAACCTTTTGTTGCATCGCAAATGCTGAAAACGTTACCACCTCATCTTCTACCAGTATCCCCCGGGGCCACCGTGTCACGTTAAACTCTCAATAAAGTGAATGCCGCAGAGGCTGTGAAACCGCTTGTGGAAGCTGTCAAGTGGACAGTTCAACGCTGGCGGCCTTTCCCTCCATTTTGAACACTTTGGTAAACAGTTGTCCAACTACGTGTGGCTGTTTCAGACCCTGTTTTAGCACAGCATAACCTTTCCAGACACACAAACATACAAATCTGCAGTATTTATACATGTAAACATGCTCAAAAATACTCTCACTCTCCAGCATTTTACTAAGTCTCTTTTAGCCCTGTTTACCCCACTTGAGCATGTTTCCGAGGCCCCCTTTAGAAACGCAGGTCCCTCGCCTCCCCTCACTTCACCCAAACGCCTTGTGAACTCCAGCATATATCAAAGGGTGTTAGAAAACGGCGTGATGGCTCCCTTTGGAGCACTTGCAAATCACCTAAAGAGCTGCGTTGGTTACAGGGCTGTTGGGCATGTGGAGGCCGGGGAGGGGGAGCGTTCACCGTGCTCTCCTCTCAGCTTTGACAGAACAGGGTGGAAGGAAATGTGTTGATAAATATGGTGTGAAGAAAAGCATTCTCGCATTATTCTACAAGGCCCGGGTTCTCTTGTGAAGCTGTATCCCTCAGCAAAATCAATAAAGCGTATCAAAATGTATGTTATTTAAAAAATTGCATATGATGGCTTCGTGCACGGTATGGCAAACAGTTCACAGCGTAACGACCCGTGCTGTAAACAACTGTACAGACAGTGTCGGTTCTCAACACTTTGTGTCATTCGTGTTTTTCCGAGGTCAGATGGGCCGTAGCTAAGCTGAATCAAGCAAATTAGCTCTTGCAACTGGCACAAAGCCGAGGCGGAATGGCATCATGGAACAAACGTGGTAATTACTCCGAAGATGGAAACGAACCACGGCGTTCCTGAAATAGGCTTTTGTTATGTAGCTTATGAGTGTTATCAGTGTGGCCACTGAAGATTCTGGTTTACTGGTTTCAAGCAAGTAAACGAGGACGGCGTGTTTGACCACAGATGTGCTGTTTGTGCATCGGCACCTCCGCAGCGAGGGTTAATGCGTCGCTGTGGTTTCTCAATATTGTCACGTTACTGTTTATTCACTCTTGATTCAAAACCAAATCATAGCGTTGATGGGGAAAATCAAGACAGCATGTTACAATTAGGAGGGCTGTTGTCGAAAATTAAACCCATCAGATTTCCCTTTCTTCATTTCCCTCCCGAAAATGGGAACGGCGGCCTACGCTCGTGAAGTTGGATCGAACCTCTCTGCTACAAACACCTTGTCAGGCACCAATTGCATCAGACCGGCACGCCCAGCGGATGACGATTCATTTTCATCAACCTCATTAATTTTGAAGATGAATTTATAGCCGTGGACAAAATAGCCAATTATCAGCCACAGTAGAATTCACTGGGCAGCAAATTGGTTTCTGTATGGGCGGAAAGCCCGGGGAGCGGAGTAGCTGTTCTGTAATTCTCCAGTCAGACGGCCTCGGGGACGGCGGAGGAAGCAGAGTTACTCAGCTATAGGATGAAGGGAGCAGTAGATGCACGCAGGTCTTGTTGTTGTCACAGAGTGTGATGCTGCCTTGCACCCTTGGGGACACAAAGGGTTCAAGGACTTGTGGAGCCGTAGCACTTCAGGATGGTTCTCTTACGGCACGATGCAGGACCGCCTGCTGTTTGTTCACCATATTTGGGGTTTTGATCTCCTGTTTAATGTCGATGGATTTACTCATTTCAATGCATCATTCGAGGCAACACACATTGATCACAGTGTTTTTTCAGGACTCCTTTTCTATCAGTCAATTTCAGCATAACCCCTCCCACCCCCCCATAGTGGGACAAGATCTAACGCCGCCAGAGTGAATAATTGAGTAACACAAACTCTGTTCGATTCAATTAACACAAATTGAGTTTTCCTCTGCATTCGTTTTGACATGCATGTTTTAATGTGGAAAATAAGAATTTACTAAGTTAATTTCTTTCTAACAGTGTCCTAATTGAACAGCTGGAGAGGCCAGAGAGGCCTGCACATGTTTTTAACATCATCCAGTCATGCGGATCACACTGTCTGACAGGCCTTCCTGCCCCCCCCTTCTCTCCCCCTTTGCAGGTGACAAAGATGGTGAAGACGGTGACCACGCGGACGGTGCGCCAGGTGCCCCTGGGGCCCGACGGCTTGCCCCTGCCCGAAGGCTCCTCCCCACTGGGCAGCTACACCGACTCCATCGACCGGCGCTACATGAAGAATGGAGGCGACCGCTTCATCACCCCTCAAGCCACCTCCACCCTGACGCGCTCCTACAACAACTCTTACAACGACTCGTATGGCGAGGCGCCCGAGAGCCAGTACGTCCGCCACTACGGCCTGCACGACGGCTACGTCGATCTGACCGACAACTACGGCAGCCTGTCCCGCGGCGTCAACTTCCGGCCGCCGCGCTACCCCTACCTGCCCAACAGCTACCGGCCGGAGAACAGCTACACGCTGCCCATTCGCAAGGACGACTACGGCCACGTGGCCCAGCCGCAGGTGCCTGTGGGCAGCAGCGCCGTGGACCTGAACCGCTCGCAGCCGGAGCGCTTCCAGGCGGAGCCGTACGGCCTGGAGGACGACCGGCGCAGCTTGGGCCCCGAAGAGGAGGAGCCGTACGAGCTGGAGCCCGACTATTCCACCGCCAACCGCCGCACCCTGCAGGGCGCCAACCGGGGTCGCACCCACCGGGAGCCTCTTCGGGACATGCCCCGGGTCAGGTGAGGGTGCTGCTAAAAAAAACAAAAAAAAAAACACAGGTTGCATAACATTACGCCAGCGTGTGGTTCGTATCCTCAAAACACCTGACAGACCGTGTTCAGGGTTCAGCCTACTTACAGGAGATAATGGCTTTGTGAAGATGTGCAAGTTCGTTCAGTGTGCATGTTATTTTCTCTGTGTTGGAGACGGAGTTCTCACGCGGCAGATTAGAGGGAATAAAGAATACTTGTCTTGCTCTCGCCATGAAAAAAGACGGCACTACACGGAGCGCAAGTAAACAGATGTCTCTTCTCCTTGAGCAACTTGCTCAAGAAAGGAAGCGATGAAAAACAAGCCTTTGATTGCCATTTTCCCGCAAAAAGGATTGTGAACAAGTGTTTGTGTCAGAGGTAAAGAGACAAATGACTCGAGACGTGAGGACGATGGAGGGAGAGTGGGAGAGGAAAAGGCTTTTTGTCTTTCATCTCTCTCTCTGACTCTTTTTCTGCAACCTTTTCCTGCAGGAAATGTCAAAAAACCCGTTGGCTTCCAGTAATAAGATCCCAAAATGGACTCTTGTCATTATCCATTTGCTTTATGTCATGATAAAGCAAATTCTTGTGTTAACGTTCAGAATGTTAAATTGCAAATTGTAATAGCTCCTAAGTGTTCCGAGCACATTTCTGTCAATCGCGGGGCAAAACGTTTAGGCGTGAAGCCAAATCTAAAGGAATGGAAAAGAGAGAGTCGAGATGCACAAACAAGCAAGCCAGGAAAGATTGTGCATCTGTGTGTGTCTGTGTGTGCGGGGGGGGCTTTTTGTTCTTGTTGAAGGTGACCATCCAGGTCAAGTTTCCCTTTCCAGCCTCCTTAATTAAGGTTATGGGCCTCATCACTCCTTTCCTTGAGCTGGGTTTAAAGGCACCTGGATTGATGTGCGTGTGGAGAAAATCTAATTGTTTTTTACACATTTTGACTCTGCTCTGACACACACACACACACACACACACATACACACACACACACACACACACACAAATCCACATTTTCAGAAAATGAGTCACTCCCCCTTCCGCCTAGTGAGAGGCGCTTGCAGTGACAGGCAATTTGTAGATGGTCTTACATGTGTCACAACACAGCCACATACACCACTTCAGACACACACACACACACACACACACACACACACACACACACATGCACACATTGACAGCCGCTAACATGAATGCATCAACACAGACACAAACACATATGTTTGAAACCACTCGTGACTGGCTGCTCGGCTGCCTTTCTAATTACAGCAGGAAATGCATCCCAAATATTTCCTTCCTTCTTCTCTCCTCCTGCACTCGAATCAGGAGACATCAAAAACAACATGACGTGAGCATTTGGCGCCGCCGACAATCAGCCCTCACAGACTTCCCGGGCTCTCCGGTCCACTCGCACTGCGTTCACTACGCTGCTAAGAAGGGAGAGGCGACTCCAACGTGCTGTAATGCAAGTGGGATTTAAAGCACTTTAATTACAGATTATCATTGCATTGCAAGCCCTCAATTAAGCTCTAACAAAGAACGAAGACTCATCCTGTCACCGCCACCGAGTCCATCGCGCGTCGGCCATGACGATGACGAAGTTCTCCAGATGCTCGAGCGCGCCTCGTTCTTGAATTTAGTGTCAACACAGCTAACGTAAACTAATGTTTGGGCCAATGCAGAGGCTTCCACGTAGGTCAGCGTGCCGTAGTCACTCCACCTAGCATTCGTTTTTTGGAATGTGGTCTGAATGCCGGTTATAGCCTCTTCTTGTGCCGGCATTTATTCAGGTGTCTCAGGTTTGTCCTTTGTCCCTGTCTGTGATAGTGTAGTGCGAATAATTTGATACCTATACTTCTACTGTACATTAGTGCTTGCAGAGGGAGGGAAGGGGCTTTATTTTTCCTTCATACCTGCTCAGGCTTTGCAGATAATGAACATGTCTCCTCCCCCCTCATCTCTCCGGTCCCTCCCACTGTTGGGAAGTGAGTTCATCGTACCGCCTTACCCCCATTCCCAAGCCGTCCTTTATCTGTGTGTGTGTGTGTGTGTGTGTGTGTGTGTGTGTGTGTGTGTGTGTGTGTGTGTGTGTGTGTGTTCCCCCATGCCAGCTTGATTAATAGCTGCTTTTGAACTTTGCCAGACTACAGGGGCGTCTTTAAGCCAATCTCTAATGGCTCATCTCTCCTTTGGCGACCTGCTCCGCTGCACCTTCCCACCTTCAATCTGGGATCACTACACACGCACACGCACACCCACACGGAGATATAAACACACTAGTAGGTAATCACATTTGCTTCTACCTTAAATAGGTTTCATTCTACCTCAGCGCTGTCATGTGGAAGTGATCCGGCCCCCACTCTTCATACCTAATCCCATCAAGAGACAGTCCGTTTATTATAATACTTTGCCTGTGTGCCGTTCGAGGTTTCTCCGAAGCATCCCCCTAAATTACTAAAGTATAGAATAAACTTCTCCTGTAACTGTGCAAAAACAAACAACAACGACAGAACATAAATATAAACTCTCCAGCTTTGCTCTTAATATCCTCTCTTATTTTGTCTCTGCATTGAAAAGAAATCTCTCTGCCTCCTTTAAAAGAATATTACCAGTAACTATTTGGCAGGAGCAGTCCGCTATGAAACGCCACACTGCCGTACACGTGACAAACGTCTTGTAGCAAGCGCCCTCCTTTCATGTGGCTGCACTAGAGGAAGGTCAGGCCCAGGCGTGATTGAAGGATGATGAAAATAACAAGAAGATGAAGAGAAGGAAGAATCGTCCGGGTGAATAAAACGAGTGCTGAAGTTTGCAGACGTGCACACATCTCGTCTTCTGTCTTTTGTTCTACTTTGTGTCTTTCAGCAACAACAGCCGCTCACACACGTCAGGAGACACGCTGGCACACAGATGCACAAAAATATCCCGGACGTTTAGCAGCTCCATTAACACGGGGGAGAGCGATCTTCTGTAATCGCGCACAAGGGCCAGGCACCTGCCGACCGAGAGCCCCTTTGCATCCTGTGAATACACCCCTCCCTGTACACACAATGGCGCCAATTTAAATGCAAATCCTGACATTCCCGTCAATCAGCTGCGCGACAAAATGCTTTACCAAAAAGCCCCCCCTCTCCTCCCCCTCCGTCGCACCGTTCCAGATCGAAATGAGCCACGATCTGCACAACTGTTCATCTCGTCTGAGAACGTAGATAATGAGGGCGACACTGTGCACGAGGGAGACGGCGCTTATGTATTCAGCTCCATGCCAAGGCGCCGATGCTGAGATTGTGTACCGCCCTTTCTTCAGGAGGGTTATTCCCGCCTGCATGCCTTGTCGTGCAGGATATCTCGCTGCTCGATGGGCCGCGAGTCTGGGAGTGTGTGTGTTTGCGTCTCGCGTGCAAAAGGGAAGCATTGAGGAACCAACCAGCACGTGCAAACATATACACAGATTCCCATATTTTCCCCGTGCAGCTCAGTGTCAGTCGTCAGACCTCAAGAGCTGCAGTCTTCCTGCAAATGATGTGCCGTAATGGGGCTCGTTTGGCTCCTCCTCCCACGCTGTGGTTACATGCCGCATGCCGGTTTGTGGCTCTCCGACATGTTCCACAAAGCTGGGAAAAAAAGCCTTTTAGAAAGTTGAATGATCCACCGGATCAGGTTCAATGTTTCTAGTGTCTCGTCACGTTGCTCGGGCAGGACCTTTTCTGCCGGCCATTAGAGCCAATAACATACTGCGGGGGGGAAGAAGGAATACACCAGAGCCGAGGCGAACCACCACCACCACCCACTCCTTCCACAGCATGCCTGGGAAGAACTGTAAAAACACGTAATTAACATAAAACTCATTAAAATTACAGCTCGGTTCGGTATTCCGTTCCAACCGTCGGCGTTTGCCACCATTTTGTTGCAACCACCAACCACCATACATCAAAGACGGGGAGCGGAGACTGGCCGAGTGATGTAACGGCGGTAAACAAGTCTCAAGCTGTGGAGTGGGTGAGGGCGATGGAGGCTGTGCAGAAGTACACAACCCTAATTAAATCCCTCTCCCCATGTCATAACCCCCCCCTCCATCAAATGTTCCACCCTCTTTTTACACAAGTCAGTGGTATGTGTTCAAAAGGATAAATATTATTTGCAACTTTTCCGCCTGGGCAAAATGTGACTCTCTTGACTGCCTCCTTAACGGGGGCTTTAAAGTGAAAGCTGGTTGCTGTGATTAAACAGCCGTAAGGAAAATAAGTGGCCCGCACCGTCGCAAGTGTTATCTGTCATTGAAAGTATGCGTTCACTTTTTTAAACATCAGAACAAGATATCTTTAGAGCAAATAAGTAAAGGAATGAGTGTAGATCACAGACTTCGAAGTCTGTGAACTAAGATCTGGGTTTTTGGAAATGGAGAGTATTGAAAGGCACCGATATGAACCCACAAAAAGCAGCTCACAGCGATAATGAGTCTACCTCTAGCAGACAGGTCCTAGGGAGACAATTCAGTAACTGCGGTGTGAACGGAGGCAGGCCTGGGGGGGCATCACAAGTCCTCGTAGCGCTCCCCGGGGGGGGCAGCGCAGCTCCTTTCTGTGTTCCCTGTGGGAAGAGACATCGAAATCCCTTCTCTACGATACACAGCGGCTTCCTAAAGAAATAAATAAATAAAACTTCACAGCACTTTCTTTGCTTTTGCCTTCATCTCTGCTTCTTTGTGAAATCTTCTCCTGTCTCTCCATCACTCCCTCTAAGACTTTATATTTGTGGATGACATGTTTGCTGCTACAGGGAGGAATAAGAAGCGGAATGTTTCTCACCTTATCGCTGCTATTGCAGGTGAATTGCGCAGTCACCATACCCCCCCCACCCCCCCATCTCAGTCCTGTCCTCTGCTTTCCCCTTTATTCCTCCTCATCAGTCTCCGGCTCTCACCTCCAGTCGGCTGCCCGCAAAGTCTTTTACCTCGGCTGTCCAATTCCTCTCCCGGACAAATGTGTCTGAGTTGCCTTGGCTTTGCCTCGTCCATCACCCTTGTGCTGACCGTCCTCTCCTATTTGGTCTTCCAGAGGGTACCCAGACGAGGCCATTGAGGCAGAGCTGATCGACGAGCGCCACCCCTACATCCACGGCATGTATTCGGCGCCACTGGCCCAGCCGGAGAGGGGGAGCATGGCCAGTCTGGACCGCATGGGCGGCCGGCGCTCGCCGTCCATCGACAGCATCCGCAAGGACCCGCGCTGGCGTGACCCGGACCTCCCCGAGGTCATCGCCATGCTGGGCCACCCCATCGACCCGGTCAAGTCCAACGCCGCCGCTTACCTGCAGCACCTGTGCTACGAAAATGACAAGATCAAGAAGGACGTGCGTCAGCTGAAGGGGATTCCGGTCCTGGTGGGGCTTTTGGACCACCCCAAATCCGAGGTCCACCGCAAGGCCTGCGGGGCCCTGCGCAACATCTCCTACGGCAAGGACAATGACAACAAGGTGGCCATCAAGGTCTGCGACGGCATCCCGGCCCTCGTCCGCCTGCTGAGGAAGACCAACGACATGGAAGTTCGGGAGCTCATCACCGGTAAGCACAAACACTTTCCACGAGAAACCAATGCGACGAGGCTCATTTGAAATGACGCAACAACACTGTCCTTCGTAAACTGTGCAGATGAACGTTTTTTTATTCGTAACTTGTCATTAGGCAGCAAAAACATAAATTGGGCCAATGTCTGGAAAAGGTCTTTTATTTGCAATTAAGTGCTATGGAAATGTTTGATGGCATTTCACGAGTAATACATCATTTACTGTTTTCATAAGGATTCTTTTAGCGTGCAGAGAAACCGCCTGCTTGGCACTGTTGCAGCCGTCTTCTCCGCTAACCGTAGGATTCTTCTTTCTGTCCGCCTAATTAGTCCTGACTCTCTTTCTGTTGGAGTAAGTAAGTATAAAGTGCTGCTTTGAAGCCTTTTAAGCTGATATGATAGCACCATAGTATGCCGGTCCTTTCCAATCACTGGCTGCATTCTTCCCATTACTTAGCCCCGTACTCTGCATAGTAATGCGGGGTTGAGTCATGCTATTTTATGAAGAAGAGTTTGTTTGTGTCTGGGCACACATCATTATTTTTTTGCAAAGGTTCACAGGGAACTATTTTCTCATCTCACACGAGTTACATTATATGATTCGTTGGTGCCCAATGCAGAAAGATTCAATTCTCGGCAAATTAACATTGGATTGCAACATTCCCCACATACCAGGGAGAAGAGATAGACACACTGTGATTTAAAGCTGCCGTTAGACGGCGTTTTCATCCCAGTGAGGACTCATTTTTACTAAATTGTGTCTCGGAGTTTGGCTCTTTTACCACTTGTACCAAATGTTAATGAGCTAATTAGTCGTCTTATTTCATTTCAACAAAGGATCACGGTTATACAGAATACAGACCTCACATTGTTTGGTCTAATTACTTTACCATTATTATACTGTCCTGATAGCATAAAGAAATAGTTATAAAGTGGAAAGCAGATGACATATGGGCATTGATTAAGGAAATTGAATATGGTTTAATGCCTTTTGGAGGAGCTATTGATTTAAACTGCTTCATTGGATTTCTTCTCCTTGACCTGGTAAATGTCAGCGCGGAACTATAGTTTTGTGTGTCTTCTCAAGTGCCCGGCTAATCCCCAACATGATTGGTTTGACCCCGACTTTGGCTGGGGAAGAGGCTTTTGTTTTCACACACACATTTGAAAATGCGAACTGCTTCCAAGTGAGGTGCTTTGACCTTTTCCAACACGGTGCATCGACCAAGATTTTAGAAAAGGTCGTATTCTTTAAGTCATTTTACAGCTTCATAAAGGGGAAGTTTGGGTTGCTGTCAATGGTTTCTGCCTGGATGCTGTTTTGTGAAGATTTGCACGCCTGCGGCCCCAAAGAGTGTATTTCGATGTTGACAGCCTCAATCCAGGGGTATGGATAGCGATACCACTCATTTAAGAATCACGCTTGTTGAGTGTGCATGCGTGCATAAGTGTGTGTGTGTGTGTGTGTGTGAAGCCTTCCTTTGCTGTGACAGAGATGTCGCGTTGAGCGATGACTGTGCCGCAGTAGAAATGATTGCCTTCACAGCACCGTGTTGCTCCCCGTCGTAGCTAAAAATAACCCTGCGCCATGAGAGAAGGGGGGGCAGAGCTGGGGGAGACTTCTTTCCCTCCCCCGCTCATTATGCCCACCTCCTTTGCTCAATCAATTTTTTTTTTTTTTAAACTTCTTCATTCATTACGCTGCCTCTGGGTTTCCGTTGCCAGTGCTCTGGCCCCGGTAGAAAGAGGCCAGTCACAATGCCAGCTCAGCTTACAGCCTCAGCCCATGTGGATATAATTGGTTGTGTTTTTCTACAATTAATTATGGGTTTTAAATATAGGTCGGTTTTTTTTGGGGGGGTCTACGTCTTCAGTCGGAGTTTGTGCGGCCCCTGTAAAACCACACAGAGCTCTATTTTCTGCACGGGGGAAACGGGTAAACGTGGAAGGAAAAGAGTGGTTTTATTCTCCAACACACAAGACAGACAGACCAGTCGTTTGTATTTGTAGAGCTTTTTACTTTGTTCAGAGTAATTCTATTTTTCCTCCTGGTAGGCTCTGGGCTGTTTGCGCCCTCCAGCATTTCCCTCTATGGAAATGTTGATTATTAAGCGGATTTGTCTCCTGTTTTTCCTGCAGGTGATGTCTGAGTTTCGTGGACTGACACTGAGGTACTTGCTTAGTCAATGAAAAATGCATTGAAAGCAACTGAACGCTGCACACGCATACATATCCATCTACATTTATATGCCAGAATTTTGACATTATATATACAGCACTATTTATTCAGAAGATGTTTTGGTCCAAAGATCCTAAATGTCGTCCAAGCACTTTTACGTTTTACTCCCAAAGGCTTCAGACAACTGAAGCTGTATCCACAGGACATCAATAGTCAGTGAGATCAAATAAAGCAGCATACAATATTTTGCACAGACATTTATTGTAATATGACCATGTCCATATATAATGAATTATTGTAAAATGAAGTCGTTTTGGTCGACGCCAAACAAACTTCATCGCAGCGATGAGGCTCCGTCTGTCCGACACTAAATGGAGCTTATGTGATTTCTTACAACCGGGTTCAGTGCGTCGGCCTCAACCGCCAACATTCACACGCTGCTTTTACTTGATGGGCTGTTACATAAGATGCACCAGTGTTCACATAACAAACACAATCATTCCTGAGAAAGACAACCAACCCGAACATGATCCATGAGACAACCTGCTTAGGTAATTGCTGTTTGTACGTGCTTGTGTCAGTGTGCATAGCTGTGTGCATATTGCACAATATGCCCAGCTCTTTGTTTTAATTAAATTCTTCGCTTGGGATCGTCCTCAGCCTGATGGTTCATCCCAGGTACACATACGCGTTCCTTTTCTCTTGTTTATTTACTTACTTATTTTAGTGGACGTTTGCCAGAATAGACAACAGCGACCTCACTTGCTGAGGCCTCCTCCCCTTCCTCCTTTTTTAGCGCTAAGAGCGTGATGGATGGCATAAGGCGCGAGGAGGCGAAGGAGGAGAACTGTAATAGGCAGAACTAAATGAATAGTCCCGCTGGGAGAGCAACATGTCTGCCAGTGGTCACTGGAAAATTGAATCGGCCTCAGGCTCATCTCCAGACCCACTCCCAGTCCAGATCCCAGTTTCTCCAGCCCTCACATCAGTATGCCACAGGGGTCAAATGGATAAAAAAGAGAAAACAGGAGGAAACATCTGGTTTAAAAACGCAACCCGCAGCGTGTCCCTTTTGCTCCCCATCTTTGTCGGTTACGTTTTAATCTAAGCGTTGTTCGGATTTGTCAGGCTCTTACAAATCAAAACTGTCTCCTTGTGAATGATTGAAGAGGCAGTTAATGATATTCAGCTCAGCCTTCAAGCTAGATTGGATTTAAGACAAAGGACACAGAGGGGGAAAGCGAGAGTGTTGGTACATACATATCAGGCTCTTCAAAAGCCTTTTGTGTGTTCCTCTTAAGAATAAAACCATATAGTCGGTGTAAAACCCCCTTTTTCTCTTTGTAGATGTTTTTGTATCTGAATGATGTGTTTACAGGAATATATGACAATTTATTAATAACTTATTTGAGATGATTATTTTCATGGCCAGTTAGATCTTTATATTCTTTATAAACTAAATGCATAAACCAGGTGGGATTAACACTCTGATGTTAAGCAGTTGCACTTAGTTAATATGAGTCCAGGACTGGACTGTTATTTTATGGACTTTATTGGATAACTAATCATGTTTTCTAACTGTAACCATCTGGAAGCATTAAGATATTATGGCCAAAGCCTCCGTGCAGACGGACGCTTTTCTAAGTTCGCTTAAACCAGGACAACGTCACATTTGTTTTCCAAAGTAAGCAGCCGGTGTTGGGTTGTTCAAATTGCCTCGGGTTCCTTTTGTCTTGGTTTCCTTCTACTCAGCAAAGTGTATCACCTTCAGCTGTAGCCATCTTTACAGATTTATCGTACCAACGGTAGAAAGATGTAACACAACGCCATTTAAAACTGAAGTCTCACCAAAAAACAGCACACTGCTTAATTGAACACATCCACGGTGAAATAGGTCGTCCGGGGGGGCATAAAGGAGCCGTTTTCCTCACGACTGCCCGAAATGTGCCTAAGTGAGGCGAGACAGCGGGACATCCCGAGAGGGCAGATAGACTCGACCTGACATGGAGTCGCCGGCCTGAAACAGCGGCAGGATGGAGATCGTCACTTCCGCAGCTCTCTGTCACCTTGAATAACGTCGTGTCTGTGGGCGGGAGGCCCGTCGGCCCCTGATGGATCGCTGACGCCCACCAAGACGGGCCGAGCGTAGAGCCGGCTGAATCCACGGCATGAGCAATGTTTCAGGTGTAGTTCCGGAGGTGATTTGGTGGGGGGGGGTGCAGAGAAAGTTTGTTGTGGCTTTTGTTTTCTGTCTGAATGTGCTACTGTGCAATTCAGCCAATACGACAGAAGTTGCCAACTGTTACTTTACTGCACTGTTCCTGCAGTAGGTGCGTAGCATTCCCCATTGCAGATGACACTTAAGTCACAAGTGTTCTGAGTTCACTGGAGAAAATTTGCTGCAGGGAAGGCGTGGGTGGTTTACTAAAACAAATACTTTTGCAGGGCCAAATGTCAATTGAAATATTAAAAGGGCAATTACCACTGTGCAAATAATATATAACAAAAAAGTTCATTCATTTCAGTGGTTTTAAATATGACTTGCCTGCTGACATAAGTAAGTAAGGAATCTATTGTTTTAAACCTTTTCTCATTTGCAACTAACTCATAATTGTCGACGATGAAACAATGGCTCGCTCACTCCGGCTTGTATGCACATATGTCTAAATGCATGGGATAATCATGTGCACGAAGAAAGTTTAGTTATTGCTTTGACTGCTGCAAAAACAGAAATAACTTTAACGAGTGAAGCGCATGCTGTCGTCTGTTCGCGAGATGAGAGTTTCTGTGATTCCTGATGTCTTTGATAACAAGTGAAAACTGTGAGTAGGGTTGAAGTACAAATAACTTTTGACGAGAACTACATCATGTGTACGTTTGTGATTTCTCAAGCAATGCTTACGGGGTTTGCTTTATTATTCTCAACCAAAAGCAATGTGCAATATACGGATAGGTCTGTGTAGTTAACAATGTGCAATACAGGCAGAATGTACTGGTGTCATTTCTTCAGTGCCTTCATTATGCTGATGGGAGACCACACATATATTTAAATAACATCTCAGCTTGTGTCCGTCTCACTTTAACACACCATGAAAGTGGTTTGGGGACAACAACAAAAAAATCCATTTTAAATTTGTAGAGGTATGAAATTTAAAGTAAATGCACGACGGACCAAATCAAGCCAGCTTTCGTTCGTAATTACCTTTTATTTATTCTTCAAGCACAGGGGACACTTAGCTCTGGGATTAGTCTCTTGGGCTTTTTTTCCAGCAAGCTCTGTAAATCAAGTTTATATATATTTTTTTTTCATGAAATGAATTTGCAACCTGCCATAAAATCCATCAATCTCAAAAAAGAAAATATGTGCTTTGTACCAGTTTAGCTATGGACAACGGAACAATAAGTGGACAGTTTCTTACACGGCTTGTATGGATAAATAAGGACTAAAATCTCTTATTTAATTTTTCCAGTCCCCGAAACATAAACCGTTAACCACAGAGGATTATATTAAACGGGCTTTGTATCCGATATACCGCATCTCAATAAGCTGTTTGTGTGAAAGTGGCCCACGGAGCCACACTCCGTGCCCGGGGGAGGGGGGGGGCTGGTCTCTGATGCACAGGAAGCAACTGCAACCACAGAGGGAATGGAGGCTACAATAGATGTGACCCTGTGATGGTTTTGAGTAGAAACTGTAACGAGCCGCATACAGACCTAAAAACATCACAAGAACACAGTATGCGGATTAGTCGAGTAGTCCATGTCTTCTCAGAGGAAATTAGTTTTCTCCAGGCCCGACCACACCAGAAAAAAATGGATTTATTTTTAGCCCACTCTGGGGGTTTTTGTCCGGACAGCACGATTTAAAAGGGGAAATACAGAACATCTGGAAAACATACGGAAAGTAATTTAAAGAGCGGGCAGAGACATTTTCATTGCTCTGCTAATGGTCTGTTATCGCGGGGCGAGAGGGAATCTCACTGTGGCCTTTGCACAGTGGCCTCAGGTCCTTTATGTCGGGCAAACTGCATTTGAGTTCTTCTTGCGTTTGTTTAATCTTGCTGTGACTCCCAGTTGTTGTGCTCTTTGGACTGGGGGGGGGTGAAGTTAAAGGGGTGGGTGTGCAGGGAGTGACCGCGTTAGGCTAAAAGGAGCACGGTGGGGTTGGAGTCGCAACGCAAAAGTTGTTTGTTGAGGTGCGGACGGCTGATTTGGGCCGTTCACCGACACAGCCAGCTGTCACGGGCAGCAGCAGTGGTGTGACACACAGCTCATGGAGCCAATTAAAGCTCAGGGACGGCAGTGGGGGGGGGGGGGCAAACAGCTGCTGGTTTCATCATGAAAACAGGAAAGAGGTTGGAGGGAACGGCTGGAGGATCTTTCTGTTTATGCCCTTTCTTTCCCACTTCTTTTGTTCGATATCTCCAGCCAACCAGCCCGATGTCCTTATTGTTTCATTTTATTTAACATTTCCATCTCAAGGTTAGCTAAGATTTTCTTTGTATTACAGGAGACAATTAATGTAAAAATGATTACCTTACATCTCCTTTTTAAAAATCACTTTTTCGTCACGTTTTAAGTAATCCGCTGATGGATTAGTTTGGTATATTCAAAAATAGACACTCGTGCCAGTTTTTATTTTGTCATTTTTGTTCCCCTCGGTCCAGAGTGAAAACCTCACACTGCCAACAGCATTCTCCTCTCTCCGCAGGCCTCATGTCCAGCTCATTTATTTGACCTCTTTTGCAGAAGTATATAACAGTCTGCCTTTGGAGGGATGTTCTTTGATTGTTTGGACAAGTAAATAGAGGAGCGGATGGATACTATAATTACTGTTTTTTCTTTTTATCGCTTCCACTCCAACTCGTTTCCACCTTCCTCGTTTTCTTTATTCCTCTTCTGTCCTCGTTATTTCTCCATATAAACCTCTTCATCACAATCATCTTACCATGTTTTTTTCATTTCTATTTAATTCCCCGACAGGGACCTTGTGGAATCTGTCGTCCTATGAACCCCTGAAGATGGTGATCATCAACCACGGTTTGCAGACCCTCACCAACGAGGTTATTATTCCGCATTCGGGCTGGGAGCACGAGCCCAACGAGGATTCCAAGCCCCGCGATGCCGAGTGGACCACCGTCTTCAAGAACACCTCTGGCTGCCTCAGGTAGGCGTAGTCCAACAGTTATTTACTCATGAATCAAGGTGATTTTTATTAAATTAAATTGAATTGATTAATTTAGATGCACATTTTGAATGGATAGATGTAGTTATATGTCCAAAATATCTCCATGATGAGGAAACAGCTGAAACAAATCTAGATTAGGAGTAAAGAACAATTCTTTATTTTTATTTTGGGATGATAGTTCTTTCTGCACAAGTCGGGCACTGAGAAGTGAAGTATTTTCAAGCTGAGGCCCTTTGTCTTCTGGCAGACAAAATATTGGACGGCTGAGTAAGAGATGAGCGCGGTGAATTACAGTGTGCAGAATAGTGTTCATATGTGGAGCTCACTCAAAGAACAAAAACAGATACGTTCCTTGCGGTTGGCTCATCAATACTGAAGTGTTTAAGTTGTTGCAACAGCCTGTCTGAGTCTGAGGATTTATTAGGTCATGTGTGAAATTTATACCCTTTGTGTTTTTGGAATCGGATACATTGGAAACATTTCACAGCAAATGTGCTTTGGACAGGACATCTGGATGTGAACATTGTGTGAATGCAGGTTGCTGTCTTTCAAAGTCTGAGCAGATTGAAGTGGTTTAGTCAAAACCAGCTCTAAATCAGGAAGATTACATAGAAATTAGGAAAATGTGTTGAGACAGATGGCAGATGTGTTCGGGTTAAAGACTTTTTGGGTATGCTAGACATCACGGATTTCACATGAGGGATCCTTAACACGCAGCCACCTTGTCTATACCCTGATACCAGTTGCTGCTGGGGACAGGTGTGACCGAAGTCAGACTACATTCCGTCGGACCAGGGTCAGGTTCTAGTTCTTAGGTACTAAAATACCTTCGGGTTTGGCAGATGCTGTGTGTGCGTGTTTAATGATGCTGGATGTCTGTCTGCAGCAGATGGGTAACAAACTATTAACGACGCGCCCCACTCTTCATCACATTCACATAAGGTACGTTGTTCCTTCACTTAAGAAGACGTTGCCTAGTGAGGAATTGCTTTGTAAATGTTCCTCTGATCCGTGTCTTGCCGTTCCCACACGTGTTAACTTTGTAACCACTCCACCTTGACTCTAATGAGGAGCATTAGAAGCCACCCGAACAAGCTGCAATTAAATAAGCACACAAGTTAAGTTAGACTCCAGCTTATTAAGGCTGAGAGAAGATAAATTAGGCACGCGGTGCAAATCGATGCCTCGTGACAACAAGTCGATGCGCCTCTCTCTTCTGTTTCTGAATGGGACTCTTTTTGATGGTAAGAAAAAAAATCAACATGCGCGCATTGGTGTTAATTGGGAAGATTGATATGGATTCATGGATGTCATTAACCCGTATGTGTGAGCGACAGTGCGTTCCCATGGCTGGACCCAGCATGCTAACGCCCGGTATCCACATTAAGCGGTTAGAAGCTACAGTGAACCTGTCACCATGCATCGAGAAGGCTAAATGCAGGTTGAGCTCACGATTAGGAGTCAGCTTTTCTTCCACATACTGTACTAGATCACGTGTCTTCCGATGCAGGTATCCGTGTGGGGCGCATGTCAGTTGTCACGTTGGGTTTTAGGAAATTGCAAAGATCATTTTTCATTTTAATAAAGATAAAGATTATGAATACGCAAACATATTCGGCAGTCTGGCATTCTGAACTGTGAAAGACAGAGAGTGCGTACGCGACGTCGTCTCGCCGGCCGAGCCCGTCCACGCTGACGTGCGGGGACGAGCGTCTCCTGGAGTGGACGTGATGTAGGACACATTACGACATCCAAATCCAGCGCGGACAGAAAGTACTAGAATGTGTTTTCACACGTTATTGCTCCGCATCAGATGCTTTCCAGCCAGTTTTCTCTGGCCGCAGAGAGCACGGAAACCCGGGTGTCATTTTACAACATTTTCTGCTTAGTTGAAGTGCAGCAATAACGAATCAAGAGGGAATAAATGAAAGCGCTCTGATGTAGCCGAGGAAAGTCTCAGAGAAGCTGTGGAATTTTCCATCAAGGCCACAGTCACTTGCTCTGACTGCTTCGCTTTCTTTCATTATCTGTCGTGCGCTCTCTTTCTTGTACGTATTTTTTTTACGTTTTCCATCGTCTTCGATGCTACGCTACGTTCAAACCGCGTCACCCCACGATGCCGAGTGTCTCTCCAACGTCTCATATCGCAGTATCTCTCCTGTGCTCACTCTTCCTCGACCCTCGACTCGGCCACTGCTGACGAGAATACGTCTCCGTGGTAACTGACCAAGCCCACCGTTGCCTAGACGCCGGGTTTTCGTGTGCTTTGCAGAAAGTGCTGAGGGGGGAGAATCCGTTTGCTTACGCCAACAGAGACGCTGCTTGCACCTCAATAAAGCCGGGGGATAGTTTTATTATAATGGGCTCCTGTCTCGGTCGGAGCCAGCTTATTTACAGTGTTTACACTCTGGGCTCAGTGAAGGGGAAACTCTTTGTGTGTGGCGTTTTGGCTAGTTGTTGTTGTTGTTGTGATACATTTGCTTTTCAATTCTACACTTGGCTGCTGGCCAATGGACATCTGCCTGATGGATTGGAACATACATGGGCACAGACATCCATGGTTTCCTAATAACTAATCCCAATGATTTATCTTCTTAATTTAAAAAAGTCCAATACTTACGCATTAGCATTAGCAAAACTAATGCGTTTCTCATCCGCCTATATTTCATGAACATTGCTAATTATCAAGTGTTGGCATGCTGACTTTCTCATTTATGATGGTGAAGATTGGGATAATATAACCGTTGGACTTATTAAAGTTAGCATCATCACCGTGGGATATGTTAGCATGCGGGCATTAGCATTTAGCTAAAGTCACCACTGTTCCTCAGTATAGCCTCACACAGCTCTTAGCATGTGGGCGTTTGGACCAAACAAAATGTCAACAAGCAGATAGAGGCGTCGACATGAGAACGTGTCAGCTCAACTGCTGCAGCTTCTCCAACAAGTGAAAACTACTTTTCTTATTCGTCAGATAATGTAATAATAAACATGCCTCAGACTAAATAATGAATCCTTTTAATTGCAAGCATTTTGACTTGACGAAGTAAAGCTACAGATGTTACTGTCGCGACGGTGACTCTGTTCTGTTTTAGTAAGCCATGACCGTGAACCAGCATGCACAACACCCGAGTGCCCTGAAACAGAAGCAGATGGAATCCAGCCCTCATTTTATTGTGTACGCCTGTGCAACCGTGACATGCTACAAAGTCTATGATTTGACTTTCTTGCAGTGGAATCTAGCTTTCAACATTTTTATTACACTATTTACTCGCTCAGATAATATAAGAGATTTGGAACAAGGATTAGATGAGAGGCAGAATCAGGCCCGGCATTATGAGAGGGCCCCCGGGGGGCCCCGGCCCGCCCACTGAGATGCTGTGCCCCCCAATAGAGCCACGAGCTTGTGATGTGTAATCCCATGCTCTGTACACTGTAAACTCAAACAGAGCTCACTGAGAGTGAGTCCTTTTAATATTTATGAATGAGCCTAGCTGACAAAACCAGCAGTAGAAGGTGCAGAGAAACAGCTGTTTCTGTTCTGTTGCTCTCTCTCTTTCTCTCTCTGCTGTTTTCCGTCGACTGCTCCTTCATTTGTCCCTTCTAATATTAGAAAAAAAGCTTATCAAAACCACGTTAAGCAAGAAGAAACTCACGTCTGTCTTCCCACCGTCTCATCTTCCACGCCGTTGTCCAGTCTGTCAATGTCTTCAAATTGATTAAACCAGATAAAACTCCATCCCAGGAATGTTGCATTCTTAAATGAATGAATAAACTACCGCAAGAGATTGATTTAATTTTTTATCCATCTAGCGTTGCTGTAACATAAGTGCCCCCTAAACCATCAGCACTGTCCGTGGTCCTGACACAGTCACATGATGTACCTGCCACCTATTTAGTTGATTTTTAAATTATTGATTTTTAAATTATAAAAAAATATATATATATATATATATTTAAAGTATATGTGTGTGTGTATATATATATATATATATATATATATATATAGCATATGCTACGTATAGATTGTACGGACGTGTTTATAGTTGTATGAAAAAAAAACGGATCAATACACTCTAGTGCGCCACCTATTATCTTTACATCCCGCTCAAGTCAAATATCGCCCGACAGATTTATATGTGCCGCCGTGTCTGAGCAGAACCATAAAGTGAATCAGGAGTGAAATGAAGATCGATAGGACGTGAAAGATATGCCATACGCATGCTGGCCTGCAGCGTTGGCTGCTTGACCTTGTAGCACGTTAGAGGAGGTCGACTCCATCCGTCTCCATCAGTCTCTATAAGTCCGGCTACAGTCTATTTGTCTCAGCTGCTCTTTTGTCCGCCGATGGCCATATGGCTCCGAGCGACCTTCACCCCCGCGCTTCATCTGATGACGCTCAAACACTAAAAGCACATCCGGATCAGGATGTCCGTGTGAAAGCTGTGTTTCTGTGTCGTTCTGTGTCCCTGCATTCTCTCTCTGACCTTCAAACAATAAGTGTCAACATATTTATTCTCAGTAGAAATCGGCATATTTAGGTGTTTGGTCATAAACCAATGTATTGGACAAATCAAGCATTTGACCAAATGACTATTGCAGGGGATCACCAGAGTTGTTACCATTCATCCTGAGGGGGACAAGGACATGTGTACTTGTCATTTTACACAAAACCACAAATCTTGCAGGAGTTGTTGGATCACCAAATTCAGCAGGATTTATCCTCGAATGTTCACGACAAATCATCGAATCGCTCTGTAATCACAACGAACAAAAAGGCCTGGACTCAAACAGCGGAACGGCATCTCTACTACATAACTTAATGAATGTCACTGAAAGGTTTTTTGCTTGAGGCTTTTTGTGTAATGAGGTAGCTAATTGTGCCAGAATACCCCACATGCAAGGAAAAAGCTATTCAATAAGGACAAAATCCATCTTGAAAAGCTGAAACCATAGCTCATTTACTTTTAAACCCAATTAAAGATACAGATTTTACCACTTGAAATTTGTATATTCACGCTAATTACATCTAATATGCTTACTTTTACCTCCTATATGCTACTGCTTTCACTACACTGTTATTTGTTGGCTTATTTAATTTAATACAGATATAGCGTCTTATTTGAGATTGAGAATGTCTGGCAGGTGGAAAGCATCAGTGTGAAAGGAGAGTTACTCACAGAGAATGTGCAGTAACAACAAACAGATCAATAATCCCCAGCACCCATAGACCTTCACCCCTACGAAATATCCCTCCACCAGGTCCACCGACAGATGCACGCGTCCATAAACCTCGACCGAGACAACTGCTCCTCGAAAGACTCCTGAAAACCAAACAGCTGACCGCCCCGAAAAACACTCCTGTCAAATAAATCCAAGGTGGGGGGGTGTGAGGGGGATCTGGATCCTTTTACAGGGGAGCTGGTTTTCTGGAGACAGATGGTTTTAGTTTATGAGCCGGTCCAGATGACTGGCGGCCATCTAGCAAAGGGTTTGCGTGAATTCGCTCAAGCTGCTGCATGGTTCTGCGCACGTTGACTCCAAAGAAGAATGGCAGAGATGCTGGACGCTAGCGAGGAGGAAGAGAAGGTGTAAGGCTGGTTATATATTTGCTTATCGTACAGGTCAAAGGGTGCAGTGGAAAAGAGTGATTCAAAACCAACATGGAATGAGATGCCGGCTCTCTCTATCTGTGTGTTTGAGCGTGTCCTTCTATTTTCTCGACGGACGTTGAGCCGATCGTCTTCAACCGTAGCAGGTGTGCTGCTGAGGCCCCGAGGAGGCGCAGCGTTGAATGTGAAGTTGTTTGGATGAACGGTTCTCGAAAATGCAAGCAGCAACACTGGAGGCCGAGCAACGGGCGCTCTACTTGTTCTAATACAAACGCAGCGCATTATGACCTTACAGTGCTGCTACACGTCGCCTGTCCACAGAGACCTATAAAGCCCACCAGGCTGCCACTCTTCCCCAGTACTAACTGGGGGTTGGCTAATGGGATTAGGTGGGCTGGAAGCCCCTCATAAATGAAGTCCCCGGCGAGGAGCAGGCGGCTCCAGCTTTCTCTTAACCCTCTCTTAAGCTTCGCCTTTCCCAATCGGTCAGAGAGCCGCAGTAAGACTGCAGCAGCCCGGCTGCCGGCGTGCTTCTAGGAGCCGTCCTCAGGGCGCCGGCCTGTGCAACGCGGAGGGACTTTCCCTTTGTATCAAAAACGGGATTCATATTTCATCATTCTCTTTAGATTATTCCTAAAGAAGTTGGATTCATAACGTTGTCTGATTAAGGCAGAGGATGAAGGCCACGGGCCTCACGCCAACCCAGATAATCACAAGGTTGACTCAGACGGGGTGGGACTTTGTAATATTTTATCTTTTTTTTTTGTTTTATCTGCCAATGTCTTCAAAGAGAATCGTTAAACTTTCTATCGCTCCCCTTTTATGGTCCCTGGACAGCGCTGATGTGACATAAGCACCCCCTAAAACCATCAGCACCGTCTGTGGTGCCGACACGACAGCTGAGCGATAGAGTCACGTGTGCCTTTGTCACTTGAGATATTTCACATTACATGATTGCATTGAGTCAGATCGTTGCATTAACAATTATACCCCTAGCCGTCGTAGTTAATGCTGACTAAGTGGTTTGCCATATTTGGGTGCCTCTATTTCATGGATGTGTTTGAATGTAAGACAATCAAATCTTGACTCAATCAGACCTCGCAATGATTCATATTTACCCTCACATTCTGAATCATGTGCTGACAGCTGCTGATGTCCAGTTCCTGCAGGTTGTGTTAGCGCTGTAGTTGTATCTGGTTGATTAACAGTGTGTATTTTGTCCCCCCCCCCTGAAGGAACGTGAGCTCAGATGGGGCAGAGGCTCGGCGCAGACTGAGGGAATGCGAGGGATTGGTGGACGCCTTGCTGCACGCTCTCCAATCAGCTGTAGGGAAGAAAGACATGGACAACAAGGTAGTGTTCACCGACTAAAACCAATATACGTTAAGGCAAATGGTGCAAACAGCTGTACGTTAGTGTTCGTCTCGTACTCATTGAGATGGTATTGAAGTGCCGCGTAGATGTACTTGCACATGAGAAGGCTTCTTTTCCCTCCCGTAGTCTGTGGAGAACTGTGTTTGCATCATGCGGAACTTGTCCTACCACGTCCACAAAGAGGTGCCGGGGGCCGAAAGGTTCACGGACCCCTCGGCGCTGCACGCTCCTGGCTCTACAGGGCCGCAGAGGAAGAAAAAGGATGACGCCGGCTGCTTCGGAGGCAAGAAGGCCAAAGGTGAGAAGGAGGAAAGAAAGAGACAGACATAAATGTGATAATTACTCATCTGCGTCTTGAACTCCTAAAGGAGATGAATGACACACACGCATGCTTTTGTTAAATACATGAATAATAGAAGAAAGTCAGAATAGATTATTGGTGTTTTCTATTATTTAGGATTAATTAGCTTATTTAAAGTGAAGAATGCTTTTTTAATGATTGGTAGCAGCTTCCCTCCTTTATTAAATTAGAGTTTGTTTGTGGGTTTCAATGCTGGGCTCATAAATTCCCTCCGATAATGAATTGGTTATTTGGTTAAAGACCAAATGAAGAGAGATGATTAAACCTTATTAATCTCTTCAATTTATTAAAAACGTTATCAATTCCATTGAACCTGCTGAAGAACAATACTGTCCCACCATTTGTTTTGTATACAAGATTTGAAATGCTCATGAAATGCATGAAAAGATTCACCCTAAACCAGTAAAACCTCAAAAATGTTGGTGCATCTAAATGAATGTAATATTTAATACAATTGTAAAGAATAGTTCACTACAATGAAGGATCCAGGTAGCACACTGTAAACATTAACCGCCCCAGTCACCACTTGCATTGTGTTACCGCTTCACAGGGTTTCCTTCTCCCTTATTGATTCTGCTCAACAGATGTGCCGTGCGCGCACGCGCCCTAATCAGCGTTCTCCCGGGCAGTTAGCTCAACGACGCCGTTAGCTCTCCGCCGTACCGCGTTAATGACCGCCATTAATCCGTCAGCCAATGAGGTGCAACTGCCAGCCGGTGACCCGTGACGCCTAACGACTCATTGGAGAGTCCCATGATTCAGGGGGGGGGGAGAACACAGTAGCTAACATGTAGACGCAGTTATGAAGACTCCCAATTACCCACATAAATGCTTTCACGCACGCACACTCACTTAGAATAATGAGGGGTGTTCAGCTGCTGCAGACCCCGAAGGTGTTCCTCGAAGAAAAAAGAAAAGGAGGCTCAGGTACGGAAACATAAAGCGTGGCTGTAAAGGAGCACGCAGCACTGTGGGCCATGTGCTTGGTGATTCGTTACCTTAAGTAGGCCTTCGTTTGGTTTAACGTCACATTTAGTATCAAATGCACCATTATGCTCAACGCGCACTCAGCTGCTCAGGCTTTGTTTACGCTCCTAAACAGGTTGATTCGCGGCGGTTGTTTCCATCACTTTGAGTACATGTTTGTTCCTCCCAGGAAATCCTTTTAATGATGCTTTACAGTTGGTGCTGTTGATGTGTATCACTCAGCTCCAACTCTCCGATCTGACAAAGGAAGCTGATTCCTTTCTTTCTAAGTCCTTGCTACCTTTTCTTCATGTCTTTTCCTATTTTTCCAGTTATTTGACGGCTTCCTTCTACCCTCTGTCGCTCTCTCTGTACATGAAAAGCCGTCCCACTGATGCCGACTGCTTTCAGAGAACAGCTACGGACTGCTAATAGTTTCCCATCTGGTCTCTTTTCTCTGTTTGCGCTCTCCATCTTTCTTTTCTAGCTTTTCCCCATTCCCCTGAACTCTTTCACCTTCGCTGTCGGGATAAAGACGCCTTCTTTTTGTGAAATTGTTCACACACACACACACACACACACACACACACACACTCACACACGTCGTTTTCACCATGCCTCTTCTCTCTTCTCCCTGCTTTTTGCATTGCCGCTGCTTCCTTGGCTAACAATAGAGGAATGGTTTAATCAAGGTGAGTCTCTCCCCCCACCACCTCGACCCTTCTGGTTTCAGCCCTCCTCACCCTCCTCCTGATCCTCCCCATCCTCACCCCTCAATGTAGAATGTAGTTAGAAGTAGTTTTGGTTGACCTGAAGGGCGGAGGTGAACAAACTTGATGAAACAGGTAAGTCAATTGGTATGTGAAGTAGAGTCTGACTAATCAAATGATTGGAAATCTAAAACTTTAAACCAAATTCGTACAATCTATGATTGGAAAAATATTAACTGAAATATAACTGAAATAACGTATCTTGGGTAGCCAGACTGCTACTTCCTGTATCAAACCTTGTGTTGTTTTTAAGAATAAAGGTCCTGCTCCACTACAGATCCCATTAGGGATTGTGTTTGTTTGCGTGTGGGGTAAAAAGGATTTGAATTATACGGATTATCGATATTGAAAGAGATTTGATTTGAAGCTGCTATTGTTCAAGGTATTAATTGTTTGATTTATTTTCAACTAAACAAACTATACCAGATTAAAAAATGAACAGAAATCCTTCTTTTAAGAATATACATGCAAACAGTTATTTGGGCTATTGATCAATACTTCTATCATTTGTTTGTGATCTCTCTTCTTCTTGCGTTCTGTTCTTTTGGTCAGCAATGATAAAAACATGGGCTCCATTGTTCTCTTCCATCAAATAGTTTACCTCTTCCAAGAATGTCTTATATAAAGAACTACATTCCCAACCGCAGTGGAACCATATTCCCATTGGATTGTCCACATCTTCAACACTAATCCGGCATATTACTATGACATTTATTTTGCAATAAAGTAATATATCACCCAACGGGCCTAAAGAAATGATTTGACATATTGGGAAATGCTCCTAATTGCTTTCTTGGGTGAAAAGACCGCTAACACTTTAATGTCTGTGCATTAACTATGAAGCTGGATGCAGAAGTCGATTTGCTTTGAATGTGGAATCAAGATTTAAAGTGGTGGAAACAGCTGGCGTTTTAGCTAAATGTTTTAGCCTTGATACAGAGTCCTGCTGATTCCCCCTGCTTCCTGTCTTCATGCTAACCCGAGCTAATTACTCGCTGGCTGTAGCTTCACGTTTAGTGCACAGGGACACGAGAGTCCTATTGATCAAACCATCTGGCAAGGATGTGCTAAGTGTAAGCGAGCAAGTGGATTTTCCCCAAATTCTTTTCAGGTGCAAAATTGAAATGCATATTTTAGTTTTCTTTAGTCTCTGGATCTCTGTCCACGTGTCCATCCCCTCCCGCTCCATTTCCCCTCTTCCACTACGTCACAGTCGCAGTAGAAAAGTGCATGCACGTGATTGTGGGAGGAGGGGCGCGTGCTGTTTCATGTGCGTGTGTGGCCTTGTGCTCATCTGCGTGCGTTTTTCAGTAAATGCCCGAAATCGTCGGATCCCGTGTGGCACTGACTCGTTCTTCCCCTCCTCTCTCTCTCTCCTCTAACCAGGTCGGAAGAACGGTGAGAACGACAAAAACTACGACACGCTGGACCTTCCCAAGCGCTCAGAGCCGTCAAAAGGTGGGCATTTAATTTCTCTCGAGGGGGGGGGGGGGCATTCGACCGAGGGGAGCCGGTCAGGTGTGGAGGGCAACAAAGGCGTGGGGGGGGCCTTTCGGCGTGAGAGAGGCGGTCTAGTGATTTAGCTTTGTTTGATGGTTTTGTGCGTTCACTGTGACAGCTGATTGTGGGCCGCTTGTGAGAGCATTAACTCTGTAAGCCATAATTTTTTTGGAAAACGCAACAATGCACTGGGACACAAAAGGCAATAAAAGGCTTATTGTGTCCTGAGCTCCATCAAGTTTGGTCGCTAAATGGCACCCATTGTGTAATCTGTTGCATTGTACCGTGCTGCAACTCACCGGTGAATGCTGCCTCTAGGAGCTGGCCATGTGGACGGGATGTTCTCTCACTGTATTTGTCATTTTGCAGCCAGATAGGAGCTGAAATGATTAGGTAAATGAATTGAGTTGTTGTCGGTCATTGTTGCTTGCAGCATGAGTGTGAATCATTTTCTGGTTATAGATTTGTTGATTCTGTTTCACATGATTGAAAATGTAACAGCTTTGTGATTTAGACTTTTGGTTCAGACAAATAAAGACATTTTAAGTTTCTCACATTTCAAATCAAATGAAGATCTGGTGAGGATTTTAGAGGGGCTGGTAGGTGGATACACATATATATATATATATATATATATATATATATATACATATATACATAAATACATATATAATAATTATCCTGTGACAGTCGTAAAAGTAAAAATTAGTATGCACACATCAGTGTTTTCGGACCGTGATACATTGCGTATCTGCTTGTGTGTGAGTCTGTATAATGACCTCCTCCGTGGGTGGGTGTATGATTGTGTGTGTGCGTGTGTCTGTGCAGGTGTCCTTATGTCTAGTGGTGTCCGTGGAATTGGTCTGAACGTATTTGGTATTTACAACACCTTGTTAAATGTCTAGTGGCAGGCAGTTCCACTTCCTGTTTGGCTGTTAATTAGCAACATTATTAAACCTCATTAAACCAGATCACCACTAATCGCTCCGCTTTTCCAAGCTAAGCCGATTTTAGTAATTTTCTCTTCTTTTTATCACTGAAGTAAAGGAACGCAGATGTGCTCCACGGATGATAATTAATATTTCCACTCAGTGTGTTTTTCATGGGTGGAAGCCGGGCTGGCTCGGTGAGGTCGTGGATCTTTAGAGGTCAACATTGTGGTGTGATTACACTACACAATGTGTTCACAAATTCCTTTTGGAGTTTTGAATCCAGAGAAAGCAATTACCGTCATGGGCCTGAATGTCAAACACGGTGGAAATGTGCGTTCATGGGTTCACGTTGGCGAGAGCACTCGTCATTTTCTCGCTCACAGAAATACAAATCATATTTGACGTTTAATAACTGCACACACGGAGGGGAATAACATCAATGAGGTGCACGGGTAATAATACAAAATATCACTGGAGCAAAACATTTATCACCTGAACGTTTAAGGGACTGCAAGTCCATAAAAGTCATCGAGATGCCTTGTTTGTTTGTGTATGAAAACGTATGTTTGCGTGTGTCAGGCGCTTGCTCCCCCTGATCATCTGTGGTGAGAGAGATGGAGAGTATCTCCATCACGGTGATGGGTAAGAGAGATATGGCAGATTACATATGTATCCCGGTTTGAGGTCGGGCTGGAGGCCGGTGGGCAGCGATTCATCTCTCTTTGTTTGCGTGTGGAAGCGTGTGTGTGAAAATAATGAGAAATAAGAGCAAAGAGAAAGCTTGTGGTCACTTGTTTACTTTCTGCCGATTAGAAAATGTCATGTCTGTAACAACGAATGTGAAGCTACGGCGAGCTTAGCTTATTATAAAGAATAGTCAGTGTTTCATTAATAATCATACCGCTGCAATTCCTCTTCTGACACCCTTGCTAGGAAATAGAAACATTCTTTTCAAAGTGAATATCATCACGACTGAAGGTTTGAAGGCGTACGAGTATTGACCCGAACACTTCTGTTAATTATTAGTCAAACATCAATATCCAGTCCTCAGCGTTCTGTGGACTGTCTCCAAAAATCAATGCCGTGTTTTCAGTAAACTTTTCAGCTGATGTGATTTGCCTTTGTAGTTGATTATGTGGCCGCTTTGTCCAACTCAATAGATCCAGTGAGTTATTTTGTCCATGCGGTTGCACCAGAAATGAGACATCAGACGTCCGTTGTTCATGTCTCCTGGAACTGAGGCAGAGGAATACAGACGTGTGGCTCGAACAAAAGTAATTAAGAAGTGTGAAAAGAGGCGGCTCCTGACATGATGAAACATTTTCCCAACAGTTAATTGAAACCACAGCCTTTCAATTGGAGGGAGGTCAGGTGGGAGGAGTCACACTTCTCGCCTTCTTTTCTCTGAGGGTGGAGGGTTGTTGGCTCTCCTGAGAGAGACGGCGCTTCAAATGAATTAGCCTTTGCCTTTTTCTTCCCGACAACATTAAGTTCATACATCAGCCTACAGTCATTACAGTGATCTTAATCAGTATGCATATTTAACTCCTGACCCACCGTGATGAATCTTCCTTTCAACAATCCCGGCTGCATTAAGTCGTAGCGCTAAAGTCATTTTGAACAACTAGGGAATTCCGACGAAGAAATAAAGGCGGGTTGTTTTTGCTTAGGAAGTGACCCGGAATGGCCGCCATGACAAGAGCTTCTTGAATTCTTTAATGCTAGGAAGGTAGGAAGCTTCAATGCTTCCTCACCTAGCTCCTTTAGCATAGGAACCACTGGACCATCCTTTACAAAAGGAAAGGAGATAATTTCGTCCGACGGTTCGTTTCAACGGCAATACTTAAATCCCCTAAACACCGCTCTTTTCTTTTCCTAAATCCTCATGAATCCTCCCATCTTTCCTTGACCCCACGACGTTTTTCACAGACGTCAAGGAACAGCGGTTGGGAATCGACGTTAGGAGGTCACTTTTTTTAACAATTCGAATCCAGATCTTTCCATGACTTTGCCGTCTTCACCACGTCACCACCGTCTCTCTGCCCCGGCCACCACTTTTAGTTTTGCCGTGTTCCCCACGCGCCTTGCGCGCTTTGAGCAATTGATAAAACAGCGGCATTTACTAAGACGACGGGTCTTGCTGCTTTGTCTTGCTAGCTGAGCATTTCAGTTTGCGGAGAGGTCTTGGCGCTGACAAACAACACCAGCGGCAGCATTGTGGGACCCTTTTTGATATCGTCCCACTGGAGTTCTCTATCTGTAGTATAACGAACAACGACCGCTGTGAGATTGGAGTCCCCTACGTCTCTGATGCATCACAGCGCTTGAAGTCTGAAATAAGGAATACAGAGTTACTGTCACTGCTGTTTATGGCTCCTAATCTGCAGCAAGAAAAACGTTTTACCCCAAAGGCGTGACCAACGTCCTCCCGCAGCGAGCAAATGTCTTCAAGCAGATCCACTTTTTAAGATGGAGGCTCTTTGCATCATTAAATTCTGCCAAATTTGCTTCAGAGTTACAGAGGAGGGAGGGGACGTTTTCTGTCTACGTTAAAGCAAAATATCACTAATAACTTGTCACCCTAGTATCCCAAGCAGCAGTCCCATGTGGACGCCCTTTGTTTACAGGCTTGAGGAATCCCACGCCCTGATAGTGAAACGCTGACTCTTGATGGAAGCTCGTTGACCACGTTGGTGAATAACTTCTCCCTCTTGCTCAGAATAATCACACCGCCCGTCACCTCCCGATTCTTTCTTTGTGCCGCCACATTTCGCGGCGGAGTGAGACGCCAAAGGGACACAGCTACCCCTCCCACCCCGTAAACGCGCGTACCCGGAATGTCCTAAATAAAGAGCGTGCTCACAGAACCTGTAGCGGTGTGTCGGGCGCGTGCTTCACAGGTACTTCCTCACTCTCGGCTGCTATCTCGACACACACAGCGTGACTGTCCGGAGCCTCGTATCTCTCTCTCTGTGTCTTTGTTGCCTCAGTCGTTCCCTTCAGCCTTCCTGTGTGCCCAATATAAAGCACTGCATGGCATCACCTCTCCATTTCCATTTTTACGTGCCGGATGCCGTCACGTCTGGAGGCAACGTGATCCTCGTCCAAGAAGAGCAGGCCGGTGTGTCGGTGTGATGGGCGACTGATTGGTTTCATATTTCTGTTTCGCATTTTCGCCGCAACCTTCGAACGTCGAGGCAAAGCTAAATGGGATACAAACAAAGAGACCAAAAAGAGTTATTGTATCCCAAGAGACTTTGCAGTTATATAAAGGAAGAGTAAATATAAACAAAAAACCCAAACCAACCCAATTTTCAGACTGTTTTATTACAGGTTCTTGCACTGAAGAACATTGCGTAGGGGGGCCCAGAGGGCAGATAATAGATACCTCTGAGTCAAGGCACAGCTGTTATATTACCCCCATTCACACTCACTTCATGGGACTTGGGCAGATTGGATATGTATCTGATATTGCAGTCAAGAAGCATTGGAGGCGGATTGAAATGAGATTGTTGAGATGCATTCCAGCCAAATGAAATGGTCTAAATTCAATCATTGTTTCAGGTTGTTTAAGTCGATTTAACTCTGAACTCCACCAGTAAACAGCCTGTAAAATGGCCCCAGTGTTCCGTCAAATCTCCATACTGCTTTGAAGCAACAGTAAGAAAGCGGCTCTAGCGCTTGCACTCGGTGGAAGTTTAACGTTTATTAAATCCCCAATGCAACCATCGAGTAAGGTGTCACATTGACCTGCATGGCTGAGCAAACGTTTGAGCCAGCGCCTTCTCCACGTTAGCGGATGGCTCATTAAAAAAATCATCCTCGTTTCACGTAGTTCTTTTCACCCTGATGAATGTTCAAGTTTTCATTTTTCCAATACAACCAATTGAAATCAGCTATTTAATACCGTGAGAGACATTGAGATGGACGACAGGTCGGAGTAAAGTCAAAAGTTGGAGCAGGATCTTCAATTGTGTGGTACACATCGTGATAGTAAAAATAGGACTAATTATGTGGACACCTTTG